GAAGCGATCGCCCATGGGGACCCGCTTGATGAGGGACGTCGTTGCACATTTGCAAGCCTCCCAATGGCAGGTCACGAAACGCTTGCAACTTTTTCTGCAGCCGCTCTTCAGAGGGTTAGGGGCCACGTGGAACGAAGAAGCTTTTGGAAACGCCCGAGAGTTGGAGGGCAGGGAGAACAAGAGCCATGAGCTGAGTTCCACAGAGGCTTGGGAGTGTTGCACTTACAGTCGGACGCTCCCCTCCTTTGGGTTTCAGGAAATCCAAACTGACCCGACCGAGGTGGAAGGCAACATTCCCGAGTCCCTCTTCCGTCTGGAGAAAAACAAGGTGCCCGAGAAATTAAAAGCGATCACTGCACCAATGAAGTGGACCTCCATCGGCCAGATAGGTCTTTGTGGCGTGGCCTGCGAGTTGACCGTCCTGAAGGATGCCATAGCAAACGACCGAGTGCTTCAGCTGAGCGACTCCTGGCGGAGCAGCATGTTGACAAGAGGCACCGTGGTTCGGCACATCTCTTTCCCAGAGTCCGAGCGATATCTGTCCATGGGCGCCTGGCCATCCCATTCCGGCGCACTTCTGCTGCCTCTGAAGACCTGCCAAGGCGGCTTCGACTTGGACCTTCCACTGACAAAACACAAGCTGAAATTTGTTCAGGTTTTTCGACTGGCTGATTGGTTCGTCGTGCCCACAACCGTCAGGAGCCCTTTGTACCATGCCATTCAAAGCCGTGGATGTCCGAGAAGTGTGCCCCTGTTGACTGTGACAGGCGAAGCCCCGAAACCCGTGCTACAGCACTCTGCAGAAAATGCTTTCTTCGATCTGGATGAGACACGACTGTCTTTCATCCTGAAGGAAGAGTGTGGCATAGGAGACCATGCCATGCCGGAAAGTGCAGAGACTGCCTTGGGTGAGATGATCTCCACGGCCGTTCAGAAGGTCCTCTCTGTGTCCGAGGAGAAGGCGGCAGACATCATGGAAAGCTCGCTGAAGTACCGGCAAGCCGATGATGCAGATCTGAATGAGATCCTGCAGTCGCCCGAGTTTCAGGAGCTCCTGACGGCCGAGACGGACAAGCAGGTCAAAGAGGTCTTGTCCGAGTCCCAGCAGAAGCATCGCAAGGCCATGTCCGTGACAGCTTCCATCCGCAAAACGAGGATCAAGGCGTCCGAGAAGAAGAAGAAGGCGCCCGAGCGGAAGCGGAAGCCTGTCAGGTTCCAACCAATCCAGATTTACAGCGAAGAACACGTGAAAGCTTGGTTGCCTCCTGGACATACGACAAAACGCGATGAATTCAACGGCTGCTGGCGGGCCGAGGATAGGTACGGGGTCACAACTTCCCGGTCCTGGGGCAAGCACGGTGACGGCTATGCTTTGAGGCGAATGCTAACAGCTGCCTGGGAGAAGTACCTCTTTCTTCACCCAGCAGAAACTTGTCCTTGGGAGTTTACTTTCTTGGATGCTTCCGGTTAGCGCCCGAGCTGCCGAGCACAGGCACCCATCCCCCGAGCAGCCGCCGAGCGACGGCGTCAGTCTGCCCGAGAAGCCACCGAGTACAACAACAAAGGGCCCTGAAACTGCCCGAGAAGAGCCGCCCAAAGGAGCTGCTGCCAAAGAAAAAGGTTCCAACCTCCTTAAGCCCTTAGCAAATAAATTATTCTTAAATTAATTAAATTCAACCCTAAGGAAACTGCCTACCTGTCACAAGCTCTCAACCTCTGCGATATCCAATGTCGTCTTGGCAACAATGTTTACAAGTCTGCGACAAGTGCTCGGTAAGGCCATTGGAATTCAAGCCTCTCCCTGAACTGGTGC